AAAAAAATTCGGTGCTTTCTTTGAAACCATTTTTCCACTATGTTATATAAAAGTTTCTAATTTTTATGTTTTTTAAATGTCAGTCAAAACTAAAAAGTAATAAAACTGCTCAATTTGAAGTAAAGCAAAACACATTTTGATTTTGCTTAACATCAAAATATTTGGTAATAAAAAAATGAGGTACCTGTAAACATTTGAAAATTTTCTAAACTATTTCAGTTCCTTCTTTGGATTTAGAATTAAACAGAAAACTTTGAATTAATGTCTAAATTAAAAGAAAAAAATAGTTAAAAATATAAAAATGAATAATTTGAAAACTTAAAATTAAAGAAAAAATAAAATGCAATTTTTGAAAGTGAAAAAATATGTTTTATATAAATTTTCTTAAAAGCTGCAAACGCAAATCAGAATTAAAAGCCAAAGTAGTTAATAATAACTAATTGTTTGCAATTATTGTAATACACTAATCGCAAACAAGAAATCAGGATACAAAATATAAAAATCATGCATTTAAAATATCTTCTTTAAAACAACAATTTGAAACTATGAAAAATTTGCTATAACATTGTTTCATCAAAAATTAGTTCCACAGGGAAATTATGGGACCCTTATAAAAATTTTTATGCCCATATGTATTGATTTCACTGGATCGCTCGTGCACTAGGTTCGCAAAGAAATTTCTGTCAAGTAGGAATACATTTTATTTTGTCAGGGCATCAAAAGGCATTCAGAAAAGGATTAATTAAATTTCCGTGGTGTTTAAAAAAGGAGCAGCGCGCCTTGTGAATTGAATTATATGCATGAAAGAATCACGCGTCACGTCAGATGCTCCACTCACCTATGACCGATTATACGCAGTTGGATGGCCAGACCTTACGTTGACAAGCCAACAAATGGCCGCTTTCGTACACGATTGGAAAGTAGAGGAGGATACCAGCCTTTCTGATCACAAATACATATCATTCGCAATTGACAAAGCAACCACCGCCACAATAATAAAACGATATCGACTGCCCGGCAGTAAGCTTCGCACCTTCTCGCGTATCATCAAGAATAGATTAGAAGCCTTGGAGCTTGCCCTTTACGAAAGTCATACCCCAGAAGACCTGGAAGCGTTAACAAATTAATTTGTGCACAATATACAGCTCACGTGAAGTGAAACACTTCCCCAGAAGCACACCAAGAGGCTTCAGGATCTGAATTGGTGGTGCAAAGATCTCCGTGCCCAGCAGCAGAAATGCCGAGCTCTTCGGCGCCGGTTAAAGCAAGAAAGAAGAAACGGGGACGCGACTAACACACTGCAGATCTTCCAACGAGAACATGCGACTTACAAAAAAAATGCTAATACAAGCAAAAATTAATTCCTGGCCCAAATTCTGCACAGAGAATCAAGAAGTCTACGGCCTGCACCCCAAAATTAGCACTGACAAAATCTTTAAGCCAGCACAACTTTACATTCAACCAACAAAGCAGTCCTTCTCTCAGTGCTCAAGCAGTCATATGAAAACGATGCTAAATAACATATTCCGACGCCGTTTTCAGGCAAGATGATGCTGCTGAAGACACACCAAACTAAGCACTTGTGCGTTCTGCAACACGCATGTCAAACACTCCCGACGATACGGAGTTTACGACGGCCGAAATTCTGCACCACCTGCCCAAAAAGAAGGCACCTGGTCCAAACGGGGGAGATTACAATATAACTAAGGCGGTCATTCTTACGAGCGTCACTCTCTTACGGACCTACTTCAACAAATTATTACAAGCGCGCACATTTCCCAAAGCTTCCAAGATTGGGCAAGTTGTGCTCTTCCTCAAGAAGAACAGAGACCCGATAGCTGCCAACTCCTTTCGCCCAGTTTGCCTAATTTCAGCCCTAGGCAAAATCTTCGAAAATCTTCTCATAAACAGGCTAAAGCACCACCTCAAAAAAACAGCCTTCCTCAGCTCACAGCAATATGGTTTCCGTTGCGGGAAAGTCAATGACGCATGCACTACTCGACATACGCGACGCCATTTACTCCAGTCGCAACAGCGGTCACAACACGGCTCTCCTCAGTATAGACCTAAAGAGCGCCTTTGACACCTTGTGGTGGCCCGCCATCATACAGGCCCTCAAGGAAGCACAGTGCCCGCGAAACATCCACGATACCCTGGTCAACTATCTTGAAGACAGACAGCTACTTATGGTACACAATAACGGCATAATTTCACGCAGACAGACCAGAGGATGCCCCCAAGGGTCCTGTGCGGGTCCCGATCTTTGGAATTTGACCTTTAGTAAAATCCTCAAGACGACTTGGCCTTAACACACTCAAGTCTTCGCCTACGCAGACGATGAAACCTTCATCGTCAGAGGCAAGACCCGAGATGAGCTCCAAAGAAATTCAAAGGACCTTTGCAGCAGATTTGTGGAACTCTGCCTCCAGCAAAAGCTGTTCATAGCACACAACAAATCGCACATCCTTCTTATCCCCAAGAAAGGTGGCTCCCTGGCACGACGCTCTACCATCAAGCTAAACGGATCACGGCTCAAAATTGTGAGGCAGCTAAAATATCTAGGCCTGACCTTCGACGAGAAGCTGAACTGGATGGCCCATATCATGCATCTCAAAAAACGCACAGCCGCAATCTGTAACCGGCTACGACATATTCAAGGCCTCAAGTAGGGTCTGAATCCCCACATAAAAAAATCCTCTACAAGACAGTCCTCGAAAAAATCGTAACATACGCAGCTGCCGTCTGGGTACAACCCATGCAGGGCCGCAAGATTAAACATCTTCTCGGCATACAGAGGCCCTTTCTCTAAACATTACGAAAGCGCATCGCACAACATTGACGGCCGCCGTTAATGTACTTGCCGGGCTCCTGCCTCTCCACATAAGCACAGAGCAGGAAGCAGCTGTACAGATGGTCAAACTAATGAACAGGACAGCCACTTTCGACGACACCAGCTTCGACACAAAAGCTTATGAGCGACCGGTCATTGCTCTGGACACTCACACAGCTACTCAGGGCATAGGAGTCAGTCTCCCTCAAAAGACGATGTAAACACCATCACAGCATCCCGAATTATTTACACCGACGGCTCAAAGGTCGATGGACAAATAGGATGCCCCTACATAGTGTACAAGAACAATGTTCCCACGACCTCTTGGAAGGGCCACCTAAATATTGAAAATAGAGTGTTCCAGAGCGAGGCAATGGCAATTCAACATGCCCTCAAATATTTTCACGGAAATAATCTAAGGCAAGCCTTAATAAAATCCGACAGTCAGTCCACCCTGCAGGCTATATTGGACCCAACAACACACCTCGCCGATTATTTAGTGAGAAATCAAAATTCTGATTAATCATAACGTCATAATGAAAAAAGCAGTAGTTCTCAGAGAAAAATGCCGTTCCCTAGGTGGTGTGTGTGGTGGTGTATTTAATTATGGCAAAGCACACTAGGGCTTATCTTCCTAAGGGAAGGGATGCCTTCGTGGAGTACTTTCTAAGGAAAACTGGCTCGTATATACGTTACACATGGGGAAAACCACGAAAACATCCATGCAGCCAGTCCGTTCGTCGGATTCGAACCTCGGACCGAACTACCAGTGTTCAGTGACTTTACCGCTCGGCCGCTGGTGGGCACCGTTCCCTTGGAAAAACAACATTAACCTAATAACTGTTTTTCAACAATAACAGTTTGAAAATATGTGTGTTGGAACGTGTGTATTTCGCATCAAGATTCTGAATTATTTGAAATTATGTTGGATATTTGTCAATATATATAAAATATGATCACACAAGACTTTTCAAGATATACGAAATTTGGTCGCAATCACTCCTGTGGTATATATATTAACGTATACAGAGATGAATACAGTTTCTCTGAAATTAAACGTCTGATGAAATTTCTGTTTTTTGGATCATTGCGAAAGCCAGTTAACAACACTATAAACGAAGAGGTATATCAAATATTCGTAAAATTTTGAAGCACTATGCCAGCTAACATTACGAGATACTGTTTAAATAATGATGAAATAGGTTTAATAATGCCCCTCCATCAACGTAAATTTAATTTTTGTAGACAGTTAATACAATTTCCAAAATGAAGTTGTAAACAGCATCTTGGCACACAGCAAACATTTTCTTGATGAGATGTTTTATGTAACTTGTAACTACTTGTATTCAATGATCATCATTCTAACCCAAACGAAAAGTAGTTTTGCGGACAGAATTTTCTACTATGCAAGCTTCATTTTTTTTAATAGTTCGAACTCCTGATATATTCTGAATTCACTTATTTGAGAGTTATCATGATAGAAAAATAATTTCTTTATTATTTCTGGATAAACATACTGGCTTATGTTCTCCATGCAGGAATTAAATCTGCTAAATAATTTTTTAATGACGATAATGTTATTAAAATTTCCAAAATTAAAATTAAAAAAAATAAAAGCCATTCTAGTGTTTCTGAATAATGAATTATTTAATCCAAATGCATAACTTCTGAAGCTTCTAAACAAAACGTACGTAAGTTCAGTTTACGATAGTTTTAGCTCTTCCTTTCTTACAGGAAAAGAGCAAATAGAAATTAATAATAAAATTTAAAATATAATATAGAATTATATCAAAACGGATTTCTAGAACTCATAACCAGGAAGCGTATAAAATGTGGCCTCAGTACTTTATTCAATAATTTATGAGATGGCATTTTACGGGACATTTCTTCTATGCTGGCTTTCTAAAGATTTCTCACAGTTAAGCCTTTATTGAAGTAAAGATAATTTTTTGGTGGGAGTTTTTAATTTATTGAAACTTAAATAAAATTAATTGCTTAATAATTAATATTTTTGTAACTCTTGTTACTCAAACAGTTTAATTTATTTCAAATTTTTATATCCTCTTTCTTTTGCAGATTAACCTTGCCTGCCCGGGAGCACCACTGATCCTTGCAATAAAAACGGATGGCTATACAACGGAACTTTCCGCAAATTCCAAAATTTCTCTATATGCTGTTTATAGACCGTGGATGTGTTGTTAATGCTCAGGACATATATGGTAGAACTGCTCTGCATTTTGCTGTTTTGTTAGACCTTGAAAATGTAGTTTGGAAACTTATTTCTAGTAGTGACATCGACAGATCTGACGAGTTTGGTAATACGCCATTACACTATGCATGTAGGAATGGAAGCCAGAGTCTAGTTGATTTACTCATAATTTCCGGGGCTAATTTACGGTCCCTAAATCGAGAAAATACTTTAGAAGAGTTTAGAAATTTTGAAATTTTAAATGATAGAACTCAGCTCTTAAATTATGTCATTCATGAATCGAAGCAGTGTCTTGGCTTAGAAAATCTCAGCCATATTAGCTAATATTTATTAGAAAAAATATTAGACATGTAGAAAAAGATGCCATACATCTCGCACTACCACTGGCAAAACGCCTAAAACTTAAAAAATGTCTGAAATATGTAATGTGATTTACTGGCCTATGGATAAAAAGGATGTTTTGTAAGATAAAAATTGTTGCGACATTTCTAATTATGTAGAAATTGCTGAAGTTTAAAATTTAATAAAACTGAAAAAATAAGTCGTGCCCATTTTCATTTTCCCCCAAAACAGCAGGTTTTTAAATTTATTATTCAACATTGAAACAATGTTTCCTGATCTGATGTTTTTGGTAAAAGTTGTCTACATTTGTAACAAAAAAACAAAGTAATAATAACGAAATGCACATGTTCTAAGTTTATAACAACAGTGCAATATAGAAATGAAAATCTGTATACTTTGAAAACAGTAAAATATCTATCATATTCAATATGTATTAAAATAATATGGCGAAGAAAAATGTTGGAGATACTGAAGATAACAAGAATCAGCGCAATTCCGCATAAATTACAGGACTAGTTTTAATAGACACGTTGAATCATCTTTACTTTAGAATTTGTATCATATTATGAGGGTATTTTATTATAAACTAATATAGCAATAAACAAAATTTTCCAACTTTTTATTTAGAATCATATTTAAGTCCACTGCAACAGCAAAACTGTGATCCAATTTCCATGGAAAACCCTCAACAAGGGCTTCTTTCTTTTAGATAGACCAGCGTTCTTTGTTTTGCACAATTCAAGCAAACAAACATCTGCAACAATAAAAGGAGGGATAAAAAGTTACTTTTTTTGTGTATACACAACTACATATACATATAGTAAAACCAAAGCAGGTCTGTAGCACAGGGCAAAAAGCGAGAAAATAACTTCACAACATAGATATTTTCATGTCTGTTCGCAGCACTGAAGGCATTTTTGAAAGATTTCGAAATTCTGTTGCATGAATTATAATTACTTGTCATAAAAATTAAAATAAAATAAATGAACATTAAAAAATATGTTATGCTTTTAAAAACGTAACATCGCACCTTTCCCTTCTTGTGTAATTTTAAAATTTTGCTTTTCCAATTATTTAATTAATGTGATTGTTCCTACATCCTGCCTACCCAAAACGTTTAACTGTTTTAAAAATGATTTGATTAAAGTTAAAAAATGCGTTTTAAATATAATTAATTTCTCTTACTGGATGTAATGCATTCTAATTTTTACCAACTGCTCATTTTAAAGCTGTAAACAATATTACTCTTTCTATTTTATATTTGTATTATGCACCTCAATTTGTAAAATGATTTATAAAAGTATGACAGTTAATATGTTTTGTTATAAAACTAGCATAAATCCGGTCATGTAGATATAGTTTTACAATGATAATAAACGCGTTGATAGGTTGAGTTAGGCTTTTCAAATATGGCGAAGCACGCCATTTGGAACACAAGTGATATCTGTCTACTGACTGATATTCACATTAAGCATGAAAGAAAGCACAAAAACGAATCACCAACTGTGCAATCCTACCGTTCGCTTGTGATCAAACGCGTTTAAACTAACAGTACCAAAATGAGTTCTTGTGGGCATCTTGAACAACATTGATAATGTCCTTGACTAAACCGTCAATGTCACTCCCCGAATGTATTGTTGGTAGTCTTCTGAATGCAGATTAGAGCTTTGACATATGTATGCCAGTCAGTAATAAAGGCTCTGTCTGATGTGGTATAACTACTGACATTCAGGATCTTTCGAACCGGGTTATAGCCGGAAGACAGTTCATCCAACACAGAAATATCCAGCAGGAAAAGGAGCAATAAAATATTTTCCACTGCCAGTTTTACCTTGATGTAGCTAAACCAAAAACCAAGACAGAGAAGGAAAGAAAAAACTGGCATTAACATATGTGCATGTGCGTAGCAATGATCCGTGCCAGAGGCGTGAAAATGGCTTTAGATTCAGAAATTAAATTTGGATTTTTAATATACAACACTAGTAGTGGAGCGGAAAAACATCTGAGCACTAGCAAACTGGCCCAAAATTTCGAATCATGGCTAGCAAGCTAGCTGCATGAGAATTTCGTGATTTTTGAAAATATCTTTTTAAGGTGAATACGAGACTTCTATTACAGAATCTTCCGCAAAGACATCCCTTCCCTTAAACAGATAGCTGAAAATAAGTAATCACGTGTTTTGGCCTAATCCAATAAACGAGTGAATAAGCAATGGACTTCAATACATAATCAAGCAGATTGCTAAAGTTTGGGAATGGGGAAAATGAGATTACTGAAACTTTTTTCTCTCTTTTAACTTATACCACAATAATTTTATTCTTGTCTGAGCTAAATCTTTCTAATATTTCTACGTATTTCGATTTTTCTTTCTTGAATTAGCTTTAGATGTGCACTTAACATATATATATAGAGAGAGAAACATCCAGACGACCGTCAGTCATTGTTGAATGCAACTAAATTTTTATTTTTCTCCAGCACCGTACAAGTTTAGTCAAAGAAAGAAATAAAACGTGCTTTGTTTGAGGTAGAAAAAATTGTTGTAGCTTCTTTTATGATGTCTCAAAATGCTAGTTCTTTCATGTTTTCAGCCTTTACGTTGCAGTGTTATTATAGTAGTGGTAGTAACGGAGGATGTGGGCACCATCCCTCCACCGTTAAGGTTAACCGGTAGTAGCACCACATCTGTCCTTATCTAGAGTTGACCATTTGGAGCGACGCGGGGGTCTCGCACGGAGCGCCCAGACCATCCCGTTTGCAGTGCTGCTGACCAATCCGCCGGCAAGGATGCATTCCCAGCCAGCTGCCCAGGCCCAGTATTTACTGATTCTAATCAAACAATACATGGCCATACAAGGGCTTATCTCTGTGCTAGCGTAGTAATACGTATCAAAACTTTACAGTTACATTGAAATGTGCGCAATAGGGTGTAACGTTGCGCGCTTCCAACCTGCACGCAACAATAGTGGTGACTGCTAAGAACTGGAAAGTAGACCAAAGTCTTGAGAAGGGTTTAAATCCCTTTTTATTCAACTTTAGAAGTTACAAATGCGTGCTCTTGACGCTCACAAAACTACGCCGACCCGGCGGTAAAATAAAATAAGAACTACGAAAAGAATAGTAACAAGTGACTACTACGGGCTCTCTAATCGTACTAACCTCACCGCGTTCTAAAATACCGCTGATAATCAGCAAACTTCTGAATTTACGTTGAAAGATTAACAACTGCCGAGGCAAGCACACAGGCAGAAACGCGTGGTTCTTCAATCTCTAACTAGCCACCTCCACGCTCGTGAAGCAAGAAAACACACCTTCGAACTCGTTTCCCTTCTATTTAACTCAGATACTTCCGATGAAAATTTGAATCCTTGCGCGTTCTACTAAAATTTACATACTCTGGCATTGGCAATTCCAGGGGAAAGTAAGGCTTGACAGGAAAGATAGTTTAAACTTAAAATAAATGTTAGTTAAAATAAATATAAACCCTATAAAGGAATTAAGTCCTAAGTTTCTGTCGTTATTACCTGCTAAATTCATACATAACAGACATGGTATATATCCAACTGACGCACACCTAAATTAAGTGTGGTACGGTTGAACAAATTTACACATAAATTCATACAGTGCTTGTCATTAAATAAAAATAGTATGGACATATCAGTGCTGTGGGTTGCAATTATGAATACCATTACTGTACATATAATATTTACATGGAAGTAACCTGCAAATTTCATGCATAACAGTCATGCGAATTTAAGTATCATACAGTTGAACAAAGTTACACGTAATAATGCATACAGTACTTGTCATTAAATAATTATAACATAATCAATGCTGTGGGATGTAATCATGAATGCCATTAAATTACATAGAGTATTTACATAGAAGTAACCTGTTAATTTCATGCATAACAGTCATGTGAATTTAATTATGATACTGTTGAACAAAGTTATACATAAAATGCATACAGTACTTGTCATTAAATAGGAATGATTTGGACATAATCAATGCTGTGGAATGGAATCATGAATACGATTAAAGTACGGAAATTATTTACATAGAAGTTACCTGCTAAATTCACGCATAACAGTCGTGTGAATTTAAGTAAGATACAGTTGAACAAATTTAGACGTAACATTTCTAATTAGTTATTTATAATTTCTTCCTCTACTTTCACTTCTCCTTTCCGCTCCATTCGTCTTTTTCACGATTCGTCTGGCGCATAATAACCTTCAAGGTTTTGTACCATTAAAACCAACCAACCTTTCCTTTAAAATGGCAGAATAAAAATCATATTAAGAGTATTTAACATGAAGCTTTTGAATTTTATGATAGAGAGGGTTTCTGATTCTCAAGGCCACTTTATTAGGTTTCGGTAGACCTGATAGATTATAATAATTTGGCTTTGCATTATAGCTGCCATCATTTCAAACTGTTAAGCCGGTAAGATGTTTCAACCCACTTCGCTTTAAATCATTTTTGTAGTTTTCGACTACTAAGTCGCATCGTCTCAAGTGGTTCGTTGATTTTGTCTAGCACGAGACGTACATTTATATTCAAGTTATGATTTAATAAAAAAAGCTTGTCTTAAAACCATCCCAGGATTCTGTCGTTAACTTCAGATCATGTGATAATTCACTAACATTATAGTAGGATTTTGATACCAGTATATGGTACCAAAAAACATCAGTCTTTATACTGATGGCCGAACAATCTCGTGTAATCAACGGAACGCAGTTTGCAAACAGTCCTTGCAAAGGATATTCCGTGAGAAAAGATAGCGCGAATCTGGAAGCTGAATTCTTTAGTAGATATCAGAGTGTGCCCGAAAAACTGACTGAATTTGTATTGAGGAAAATTCAAGTGATTAATTTGTTACATCGGGAAAGGCCCGATACAGAGATCTCACAGATCATCCTGCCTAGATCACAATTCCAAATCCAAGATATTTTTGATTGAGAAACGCCAGAATACTGGAGAATTTATTTGAACTCGTTTATGAAATGCAAAGTTCATTTGAAACTTTTTGAAATGTTACGTTCATTTGAAACATTACCTTCCAAACGAGAATTTGAAGTTGAAATATGAAATTCATTCATTTCAGCTCGTGTTTAATGTAAAGTTTGAAAATGTAATACAGAGTTTATTGCAGAGTATGCCTAAGTCAGGATATGGGCAGAGGTCATATGAATATTTTTCGTAGACCTATACGCAAGAAAGCCAATGATCTTTTTTTGTTTGTACTAAATTCTGCAGTTTGGTGCTTCCTGAAACTTTTTCTGCTACTAAACTCTGCTAGTCAGTGCGTACACTAAACTCTAATAATTTTTAAATGCCTAAATATTGTTGCTCGATGCTTCACTTAATTCAAAAACTATTGCTAACCATAAATCCTTCTGCCCTAAGTGGTTGCACATTTGCAATTCCTCTGATGCCGACCTTCGTCGAATCCCGTAAACGCCTTTACTGTCTATTTTCCCACGTATATATTAGCCTCAATAAAGTCATTAAAATTTACTTCTTAATTAACAAGTACTACAACAATCTTCTGATTTAAGTTGAGCTTTCAGTTATTAATAATATGGTTTGGTTTGTTTTCGTTTATTATGGCAAAGCATACTAGCGTTATCTGCCTAAAGGAAGGGATGTCTTCCTGGGGAACTTTCTAAAGGAAACGAGCTCGTATACACGTTACACACGCAAATCCAGGAAAACGCACAAGTTTGTATTTGAACAAGTTGTATCAAGTCCGTTTGTATTTGAACTCAGGGCAGCACTCCAGTATTCAGGGATTTTATCGCTCAGCCGCTCGTGGGCCTATTACTCACAAGAAGTATGCAAGTATTTTTAGGCTGTTTAATAAAAAAATAGAACACCGGAATCTGATTACTACCTAGGACACAAGGTCCAAGCTTCAGCCTATGTTGCAGAGAGCCGAAACTCCTGACACTTCTCTCTGTGGCATAAAAAGAAAGTGGCCCTGAATTGTGCTGGGATACCCTGAAAGCATGCTGTACGTAGGACGTTTTTAATTGGGATCCGTTATCAATAATTGAGGTGTATTCTGAGTAATTCTGGACAACGCCCACTTTGTTATTTGCGTTAAGCCTGCTGCAGTCACAGATAAAAATTTGCAAGTGTCCTGCCTTTTTGGTAAAAAAAAAAATTAAAAAAAAAAATTACAGGTAGTAATAAGACACAAAAGCTCCCCTTCAAATATATTTCTAATGTCTATTATATCATTTATAATGCTGACAATCAGTAATTGAATTAACTGCTCTGAACCAATTTATTAAAATTTATGAATTTTTGTGTTTCCATAAAGCTGACCGAATAGTAGGAAAAAAACATGCATACAGTAAATACGAACGTCGAGAGCTATGATTAATAACTAGATCAGCTACTTGTTTGGAGCATATGAGCACGCTTTTCTACTTATTGACTAACGCATAACACCGAAACAAAAATTGAAAATCTTTAGTACCTCCATTGCATGTTTTACAAGAATTACTTTTCAATTTCGCCACCCTGCTAAAATGACACAAACCAGTAAAACCTTTTCTGAGTACCCATAGAATTCTATGGGTTTCTACTGACGTTTGCTAGTTTCTGTTGGTCTCTGTGGGTTTTTCTTGCTGGTCTCAAAACGTCCCGAAAAACCAGTAACATTTTCTACTGGTAACCATAGAATTCTGTTAGTCTTTACTGATTTTTACTGGTTGCTTTTGATCGCTGTCAGTTTTTTTCTTACTGCTATCAGCCAGTTGACACGCATACAACCAACATCAATGTCAGAACTTTCTACTGGTTTTTATTGCTTTTTATTGATTTTTACTGGTCGGAATGGAAGCCAAATAAATCTTCTATTGATTTATATGGGTTTATGCTAATTTTGTAACTAACGTCAATAAAAAAGTACAATGAACCCTCTCATCCCCACCTCTTCTCTAAGACGATCAGTCTTTGTAATAATTTAAATACATAGGAGCATTAAATACGGCCTATTTAAGCCCATCAGGTTAACCTGGAAACGTAGGTGGTCATTTTAGGTTTCACTATATTTGCTCATTCGTTTCTTAAAACTTTTGTTGGGAACAGTGGTTCAATACCATAATATATTCAGGTTTTCAAAAATACGTTTATCTTTGAGAGGTGGTCATCTTAGGAATGTTGCATCTACGAAATGAATCTCTCTAAGTCGGCCAGTCACGTTTCCAGAATTTTCTTTGTGAGTGGTCGTCTTACAAAGAGTATGTTCAATACCAACATATACTTCTGATTTCAGAAAGACCGGTCTCTTTCAGAGGCGGTCATCTTAGGGAGGTGATTTTGGCACGAATTGAATGCACACACACTTATATTCGCATATATCAACATTTCTGATAGTACAAATAAACACCGGTATTAACTATCATCTCCTTAACCCATTAACTGCCAAATTTTTATTTCATCAATTTTTATTTTATTTCTGTTAGTTTTTTCATCTAAATAATAAGAAAAACATGTTTTTCTCATAAATGCGTCAATTTTTTTTCAGAAATTTTAAATTTAAGTCCGATCCCCAAATGGGGATCATGGCTGATGCTATCTACTTTTAATGCCAAGTCTACGTGTAATCCAACATTACATTTTCCACATTGTTTTTCTTGCATTTGTTTTGCACACTGCACATTTTCTTTGTTTACCATTTTCGGTCTGTTCAATATAATGATTACCAGATGTTCTGATAACAGTAGGAAACACGATTAATTGATGCTTTAGTGAAAGAATTCCTTCCACCCTTTTTTCATCTGAGAGTTCTGAAGATAAAGCAAGATATCCCTCTAGCAACCATCCTCCTAAAATCTAGCAATGGAATTTTATCATTTGAAATACAATACAGTGCGTGGGGCGTTAACCAGTGTTACGTCGATGGCATTAGTAAGCAAAGGAAAACACCATTTTTCCCCCTTATTCTGATTATGTACTTTTGAACATTCCAATCCATCTTGTCTACTCCACCCATGTATTTGTTATATTCTGATATCAGTTTGGGTTGTGGTACTTGAATATCTTTCTTCTCTGTTCTACTCCATCGCTTCACCTCTGATATTGGTTCGATAGTTTCATGATTAGACAGAAGCCTTACACAACTGTTGTCATTCCACGTGACAGCTAAAATTTCATTACGGGAATCAAATCTGTAGTCATATGCCCCGCGTTCTTTTTTCCTTATCTCTTTGTCTGTTGCAATAGGGAATTTGTTCATTCTTTTGAATCGAACAGTTCCTGTTGCTCTAACGTCAATGTCCTGCAAATGTTTCATCAGAGAAAATCCTGTGAAAAAATTGTCGAAGTAAACTTTATGAGCATTTGGTGTCTGAAGAATAGATACCATCTGAAGGACGAACAATGTCCCAAGCCCACTGATGCTTTCATCATCTCCTAATTTCTTTGATTTGCCTTCATACACTTGAGTCTGATAACAATATCCAGTCTGTGAACAACAGATAGTCCCATTGTTTGAACCCAAACGCACTGGCTTACCACGTATAAATTGTTTGAGGTAGTGATGTCCAAAGTAACGAACCATTTGTTCGTCAATACTCAAACTTTCTGAAAACACCCGAAATTGTTGAAATTTGTCATTCAACTTGTCAATCAATGGCCGAATCTTGAAGAGGTTAACACGTTCACCTAGTGGAATCCTTTCTAAATCGGAGTTGTCACCGATATGTAGGTAGCGTTTAATTTCCAGTTACCTATTCCGACTCATGCATGCTCTAACACACAGAATGTTCATGTCTTCATCTTCACACCAATATAATTGTTCTTGCGGAAAAGTGAATGATAGCCAGTGAAAAGAAGCATTCCAATAAATTTTTTAGGCAGTTATTAGAAAGCTGAAATTGATGATTGTTTTTCTGTCTGGTCGTATATTACAGACTGCTGGACAATATAGGTGACAGTTTCATTATCAAAAAGTATTTCAAAACACTCTACCGGGGATTTTCCCCTGAGGTTTTCTAATGACATCATTTCACCTTGTCTCTGTAACGTCAGAATTTTCATATAGTTTCGAGTACTTAGGTTGCTTCTTTTTTCCAATTTCAAGTCAATACTTCTTTTCTCTTTTTTAGCAGGTGGTAAGCCGGTACCTTTTGTTACTTCATTTGCTGAAGATTCAGTTGCATTCACTAAAACATTTTCCTCAAATCCTGCCACACGGTGAATTTGAACACACCCGGGAACATCAAGTCATTCTTCATCATCAATTACGTTGTCATCCATGTTCTCATTATCTTGAAATCTCATCAACCCGCTCTGGTGGAATTTCAACAATATCTATGGGGCTATTATCGTCGTCATCGTCAGATGCAAAAAAATCATCAGAATTTACAATTTCTTCTATTTCTTTTAAAGAAAGATATCTTTTACGCGACATTTCCTGGAAAAAAAAGAAAAACAGTTTTTTTTACAATTTTAGTCAGTATCAGCCATGATCCCCAAATGGGGATCGATATATCTAGGTTCATTGTACCCATCCAAATTACAGTATGAGGATAAATAATATATAAATACATTAATTACTTACCAATGATCAAGGGAAATTCAGTACAACAAAAATAATTGTTTCTTAAGTAACTTTTTTGTGCTTTGAAAATAACCGTATTATTTGAGTAGTTCTCGTGAAAAGTAACGAGAGAGCAAGAAAAATAAACTCGTGAGCTCAACTAACTGAGTCCACGTGTTTGTTTAAGATTTCTACCCTTAGTTGCAATCTTCAGGAAAGCATGACCACCCGTAAGGGACACCCAGGTGCAGCATGACGTCACAATGTATACAAATGTAGGCGATCCCCATATGGGGATCATGGCAGGAATGGATTAAAGCGATCACGTTCATTCACAAATGTAAAACCATTTTCTAAGAGTTACTCTGACGTGAGGGAAAAATTTTCCTTTTTCTCCTTTTTGGTAATTTCCCAAACAAGCAACATGGCGGCGTTCTTGTTAATGTTGTAATGGGATGTTTGTGTTATGGACTTGGTATATAGCAGGCTGTAGTAATGCGATGAATAATATTTTTACTATGTTTTACTGTTTAGATGATTATAATGAAAAATAAAATACCAGCTTTGATTGTGAATATAAAATAATATGCAAGGAAATGCTAGTAAAGCCATGCACATGTAATCGAGTCTCATATCTGAGCGAACTTTGCTGACAGTTGAATAAAATCCATAAAATAGATCCATAAAATAGACAAAGAAGATGTCAGCTATAAACTATAAGGTATTTCTCCCATTTTCCTAGCGTGCCTTCGTGGTGTAGTGTTTCTGCACGCTGGGCCGATATTCCAGAAGTTCGTGGTTCGATTCCCGGAGAAGGCGATTGCTCATTTTTCATCTCTCCGGCTTTTCCAATTATCCTAATGTCTGTACAGTGGCGCCCAAACTAAAAGGTTGTTGGGCGAGGTTTTCTCCACACCCAGGATTTGGCGATTGGGTCCCCCGAAAACCCCACTCACCCTTTAGAAAGGGGAGTATATAAGGTACTTCTCCCACTTTCCATGATCCCAAAGCCGGGAAAAAATCACACCCAGACCGATGGTTACAGGCCAGTCCTCAGTAAAATTTTCGAGCGCATCATACTCTCCAGAATCCAACACCACCTGGATGCACTTCCTCCGGAGCAATTCGGATTTAGAAGAAATCTTTCTACTACTAAACAACTGGTACGCATTATCGAATTCGCAGGCTCGGCTCTGCATAACAGACAAAATGTGGCTATCCTCATGTTGGACGTGGCGAAAGCCTTCGACCGCGTCTGGCATGAGGGATTAATTATCAAACTAATGAGCTACAACTTTGAACCCGAACTACTTCGCATCCTTCACTCGTTCATCACTGAGAGAAACTTTAAAGTCTGTGTCAACGATGCTCTCTCCACTTGAAAGGAAAATTAAAAGCGACATCCTTCAAGGCAGTGTTTTGGGACCTGTAATGTATATTTTCTATGCTGCTGATTTTCCCAAAATTAGCCTCTACCAACTCCATCCTTGCCTGCTATGCCGACGACACGGCTATTGCCGTGAAATCAGCTAACCTCAACCACGCCATCAAAGTCCTACAGAACTTCACCCCATCCATCGAAAACTGGTGTAGTAAATGGAAGATCAAAATTAATGCAAGTAAATCACAACTATTGCTCATCAAAAGAAGAAAACGAAACCGCCCTGTAAATAACAACCTTCTCCTGTTTAATGAAATTGTTCCCATAGTTCGCCAGGCCAAATACCTCGGGGTCACTATTAATGATAAGCTTACCTGGACACCGCACATTAACAATGTCAGGAATCAAGCCCTGAAAGTCATTAATTGTCTCCTACCCATCTTAGAAAAAATATTCCAATCTTGATCTACGCAAGAAACGACTCATCTACTTGACTGCTGTGAGACCCATCCTCACATATGCATCTCCTACATTAACTGCGGCAAAACCTGCCGACGTTAATAAACTGCAAATTGTGCAAAATAAATTCTTGAGACAAATGCCCCTTACTATGTAAGGAACTCTGTGTTGCATAGTGATCTACGTATTGACACCTTAAAAGATTTCCTGTACAAGAGCAATGAAAACGTTTTTCGAAAAGCATTTAACTGCAGTCAGTTAAACTTTTTTCAGACCCTCAACTATGAAATCCTTGCAGAAGACCAATTTCTACGCCCGTTTGCAGCATTTTTATTAAATGCTGACGATAATCATCCTACTTAATTACTCCCAAAACCAAGCAGCATTCTTCGAAGCCACAGTTCGGGAGGGTGACCCCTCACGTGACCTAGGACTTAGAAAATTTCTATCTCTGCTTTGGAGCACTCAGTGCTACTGAAATGACTGCACATATCTGTACATATTTTACTGATTCTTTTACTTTATTTTTATTCTATCCAATGTGTATATATTCCTCAATAAGCTATTTACAACTGCATATTTTCTGTCAACTGAGCACTACTGAGACTGATGAACTCTGTGCTTACGCCACGCCCAGTGCTCAATAAATTCTTGGACTTTGCAGCAATTTCACGAAAATGTTAGTGAAAAACTCTTGTGAAATCCATTGACTAGGAACTCTTGCCCTTCAGAGAAAAATATGTTATTACTCATTATTTGAATGTTACTCATTATTTGAATGACAAATATTTTTAAAAAACAAGTTTTCTCACAAGTTTCCGCACCAGCCATACATGACATGGTCACTTTTGACTTCACGTACTTTATATTGTAATACTATTTACAGATTCATTTGGAATTATTAAATTTATTTTTTTGATTTATCATTCACTTTTTCTATTGTTCTGTTTTTTTACACACCCCCGATGTTACACTCTTTAGGCAACCAACTAGCACAAGAACGTTCAGAACGTTCAGAGCAAGTGCTTCACAAACGTGTCGGGAACGTTCAAGCAGAACGTTCAAAATGCCGTCTACATGTTACAGTTCTAAGACGGGCAATAACACGTCAAATACTTGTGTTTGTAACACTTTCATGCAACGTGTCATTAACGTTCTAGTACAACGTTTTTGGCACGTTTTACCTGAACGTTCTGAACCACGTCTATGTATTGCAGTTCAATAACGGACAGTAGTACGTCAAAAGTGGTACTACTATCACTTTTTTATAACGTTCTATGAATGTTCTTCTAACGTTCTAACGTTCTAACAGAACGTTCCTTTAACGTTCAGGCAGAACGTGGTGAATCACGTCAGTATGTTACAGTTCAATAACGGGTAGTAGAACGTCAAAAAATGGTGTTACTAACAATTTTATAAAACGTCCCTTGAACGTTATATGGAAGCTCCGTTACCTTCTAACAGAAACGTTTTCTTTAACGTTCTAGCAACGTTTCTTTAACGTTCAGGCAAAACGTTCTGAATTACGTCTGTAAGATGTAGTTCATTAATGGACAATAGAACGTCAAAATGTGGTACTAGTAATAATTTTATATAACGTTCCTAGAACGTTCTTTGAAAGTTTCTATAACGTGCTAGCAGAACGTTCTCTTAACGTTTGGGCAGACGTTCTGAATGTCGTCTATAGATTAAAGGTTTATGACGAGCAATACCACGTCAAATACTTGTACTGTTAACACTTCTGTATAACATGCAAAGAACGTTCCGAATCACGTTTAACTAGAACGTTTTGAGTTACGTCTAACTAATCCGGTCTATATGTACAGACTCTGAAGGACAACAGTACATGAAATATTGTGTTTTGTAATACTTGCGTCTAATGCGAAACTTAGTTTCCAAATAGTGAATTCATATAATAATTTACATTTCTTTAACGGAAGAGAACACTGCAATTTTCTGGAAAAGACATTATCTGTTTGAAGAGTTGAGCCTGAAATGTTACATTTACAAATATATGTTATGCTTTATATGTGCATCAAAATTCAAATTCTATTATTTTTTTCTATTCTCTTAGTTCATTACATACATGCCATTTATTAATGAAACTTTACACTTTTTCTCTACATTTACATGCAATTCCTCCAATGCAATATTATCTAGACCTTATATTCCATAGAAG